TGAAACTTCGAGCAATATGTTTTATAATTATTTCCATAAAGTTTTTGAAAACAAGACAACATCAAAAAAAAAACTCACTTTGCAGTAACGTGACGAGAAGAGGCAGCGCCAACATCTTCAGGACGTCCATGTGAAGCCTCGGTGAGTTCAGGTCTGTCCTTTGTCCAGATGATAATTAGTTTGACTCCAAACTTTCTGCACGCTTCTTCAAGTTTCTTCTGCAGCGCGCGCTCTCGCGTATCCATGGACAACTGACGGGGGAGCGCGCGCAGACGGGAGCTCGGTACCAAAGGGAAATCTGATCCTCCTTTTATTTTGACAAGGCCTGATCTGTTATGTCAAGGGTGATTAAAAGTCTCAGATTTATTTTTCTTTCTTTTATTGAAGCCTCTTATAAATCATCAGGATTTCAACGTTACAACTTTGTTTACAAATATTGAGAATAACTCTAAAAGTCTACGTGAGATGTTTGCTGTGGTGGAGACATTTTGACAATTTGAATATGTAGCTGAAGTTGCTTGTCTCTATGGCTTAAGGGAGCTTAAATTGGTTTGAGATCATTTTATAGCTGTCAGATCTTGGATTACACTTGCTTTGTTTTGCTGTTCTGACCTTGTGCAATAATAAAGTTATATTAATGTTATATTATGTTTTACCAATCCACTTTGTTTATGTGCACTGTGTACATGTCTGTGTTACATGGAATATTATGGACTACATTTTTGTCAAAACTGCAGCTCAGCTGATCTATTTTTATTTTTTTAATCTATTCTTTTCTACTTTCTTAATTTTTCTTTTTTTATTTAAATTGTACTGTGTTCACTTTTTGTTTGCAAACTTTGCTCTTTGCTGCTGTAACACTGTAAATTTTGCCATTGTGGGGTAAATAAAGGATTATCTTATCTTCTTATTTAATGTTATCTTTTTAAAGAACAGTTGTGGTTAGCTGAAGACCACAGTCTAGTTTTGGTTTTAGCCCCTAACATGAAATTAAGCGAAATGACAGAATAATGGATTTGAACTATTCGGGTTGAGAGAAACATAAATCGAACTGAATGAAAGCACTGCTGTGTGTGTTTTGTGTTTACATTTTAAACCAGCCTACTTGTTATTTTACTACACCACTTTTCCTTGTCAAATTTCTTTATTCTCTCAATTTTCCTAAAACTTTTATCTTGGGCTACTTTTGAAAAAAAAAAAAGCAACAAAACATATTTTCAGTTTAACATTCAAAATATGTTCTTGTAGATGCCTTTATCCAATAAATAGTAATAAGTCAATATGCATTTAAAAGAAGACAATCGCAGGGTTGGAGCTGGACGTCTTCCACGTGGGTGTAATAAGAGGTGCAGAGACAAGACAGCTGCTGGCTGAGCTACTGCGTCCTTGGCTATAAGGTTTCTCACCAGCAGTGCCCACACAACAACGCATTGTCCCCCATCCTGGTTAATGTGCACACATGCTTACACTTGTGGCCACTTGCGTACACAAAGACACACACAGAGGCCATACGCGAGGACACGTGTGCACAGACACTAAAGGGAGAGAGAGAGAGAAATACAAGCTCAGAAAATCTCTGCTGCAGCACCTGTTCACTATCGACGACCCCAGCTGCTGTGCTTTGAGCAGGACGCGCTGCTGACATGATATACACACTAACACACACACACACACACACACACACACACACACACACACACACACACACACACACACACACACACACACACACACACACACACACACACAAACTTACTTTTAACAGCACAGCTCATGCCTTTTGCTTAGTTTACAAAATATGTTTTACATAAACAGTCTCTCCCACATAGTGACTCTTATGTGAACCAATCATAAGTGATGGAGTGATATTTAATAAATTAGTTTGAAGTCTTTCTATGTGATTTTTCACACTTAAATATAATAGAAATCAAGTATATCCTCTGAAAATAACTCTGTGAGTCATGACTGTCTACAATGGGTGTAACACCCGAGTCCCACTGTCTGTGATGTTTTCAGAGTTTTCAGAGTCCTATCTTCACTTTGTTTACATCGCCGGGACGGCCGGCTGACTCCTCCCCTCGTGTATAAAAGTTGTTTAATTGAGGGACTAGAGAAAAGAAGAATAACATACTGTACTCACTGCTTAACTGTGTTTCTAGATCACGCTCATTTCAGGTAAATTTACATGCAGTGTGAAGATACCAGCATAATAAAGATCGCTAGCATTAGCATGCTAACACAACAATGCAGCGCGAGTTGTTTTGGTTTCATGCTCGTGAGATTCATGTTCAAGGGCGACATCTGCTGGATCAAAAAATCACATATAAAGCCTTTAGATACGTTGACTAAATCAGGGCTTAATTTAGTGATCTATTGCAACAACAGTTTAAATTGGGTTTTAAATAAATGGGATCCAATTTTAGGCTAAGTTTGAAACATTTAAACACAATTTTTCTGTGTAAAATTAAACATGTACAGCTTCATATACAAGAAACTTTTTTAGATTTGAGATTTTGTAATCATAATTTATCATGGAGTGTAAAGAAGGATCCACAGTAGCAGCAATACTCAAAACAAAAAAAATTGAGAAAACACCCTCCCTACAACCTCGTCTTACTGCACTGTTACTTAATGTCTCCTGTTTGTTGAGGGCTCACTCCAAGATTAAAAAAATAAAACAACAACTCTAATTTCTGGTAATTAATTCAAAATATAAACTTACTTATAAACTATGCAACATCTCTATCTATAACTCTACCCAATTCTTACACACTGGTCCCTTGGTTACTTTCACATATAAACAAATAATGCTGTGACAAAATGTGTGTTATAACATCTGATTATAGTGTATTTACACATGAAGAGTAACACCCTTTAGTGACAACCTAGTGACACAAGCTAGCCCATACACTGATCACAGTGGTCATACATCTGTTATAAACACTGCGTCTCAAGATCACAATCAGCAAGACATTCTGTCACACCAGCAGAGATGCAGACAGGTGTCATGCATTACATTGAAATTGGCTCCGTCCCATTTATGTGATCCAAAAAGCTTTAAGATGGAGCACATACAAGAGCTTGGAGGGCTTTAAAGTACTCGTGTCTGGCCCTCATTATTACCTGAGCCTTTCCTGCCGGGTCAAAAGGTCACTATCAGATGTGGACAAAAAGTTGATGAGCTGAAAATGTAAAAATGTCTGGTTTTAAAATTGTTCTACTGCTCGCATTTCTCTGGGCAAGAACATCTTTATCCAGAGAGATCAGAGATTAAGAACACATATTATCAAATCACAGCTCAGAACTGTAACCAGACCGTCAGAGGGACATCTCAGAGGAAACTCACAGAGGTCAAAAGGTGTTCTAGCTGCGAGAACACTGAAAAGTGGAAATCTGAAGTGAAGAAACATCCATTCACATCAGTGGATACCATGCACTTTCTGTTGAGAAATACCAATGTGAGGAAATATTGTGACTCACAGCTCCCATTAATCTTTATGCTCACTGTGTCAAAGTGGGAGGTTTTCTTGACCTTTGTCTGCCCCCTCTTAATTTCTTATTGAAAGCAGCATTTTGAGTCATCCAAGAGACAGACATACAGAATATTCCACCACATAAATATGTAAAAACAATTCTGTTTTCTATCAGTTCAGAGTCCAGATCTAGATCTTTGAGTAAGTGGGAGTTTGTCATGAGAAATAAAGACATTATTTCTTAGTTATTTGACGATACAGCATCAACGTTGGGAAATGGTTTGTTCGGTAAATGGTGGACTTCTAATCATTTAATTTTTTCCACTTACATCCTCTGATGTGGGGTTGGTAATTTTGGAAATCTAGCAGGATTTTGAAAGTAGAATTCCCCCAGTGCTCCGTCTGCACCCCCTCCCCTCTGTGCTCCCTCCAAAGCCACGCCCCCTCACTTACATGCACGAGCACCGATGCTCCAGAATGTCGTCTCATATCAGCGGTAAGTAAACACACTTTATCATAAACATGTAAAAACAAAAAATTGTACAATTTCACTACTCACAGGCAAAAGACAAACTCACAGTACAAACTCCGTCATCTGTGATGATCCCAAGAGTAGAGAACGAGCAGGGAGACAGGGAGGCGTCTGATTGGTCCAGATTGGTACCTCGTGGCAGATATTTTTTCATTCTCACAGATTCTCTGTCATCTGTAGCAGATGTAACAGATGACTGTTCCTTTTTCAGAGCACATGAGTTATTCATTTCTGTCCGGATTTAAAGACAATTTCAACCAAAATCTTAAAAAGTGTACCTGAGAGAAAATTACCAACCCTACCTTTAAGCAGTCAGTTAAAGGTGCACTGTGTAGATTTGGTAGTGAAATTTGAAAGTTGTAGAAGTGAAGCAATTCTATGCTATATTTTTACACTAACTAACTGAATACACAAACTTCATTCAAAGTGAATAACGGATCCCTAAAACACTGTTTAGAGCTTAAGATCTACCAGGAGAGTTACGGTTTCACTGTTGTGGGCCCACCAACATGACTTCTCGTGTAGCATTTTATCTTCCAACAGTGTTACAGGGACCAGATTTTCCTCTGAGGACAGTTTATATATGGAGGTATGAACATTTACCACATAATCTGTACATTTCTCCAACTTTCACATTTCTCTACAAAACTCCATAGTCCACCTTTAAACTCTCCAACCAGCCTTACTTTTCGACTATATTCACAAATGAATAAACATAACCTGAACTTCCTGAATTTCTAAAGAAAGGAAAAAAGAAAAGATTTTACTGTTGCGACGTCTGGATAACAGGTATAATTAATTCTTCACTGTACTTCTTATTAAGAACCTTACAACATTACCTTAGAGCCGGATTTATTTTCTGAGTTTGTGCCAACAGGAAACAAAACAAAACATAAGCTGTGGCGAGATAAGGTTTTATACCTCACTTACAGAAAGTAGCAGGATAAAGGGCAGGACTGATGCTGCTCATAAAGATTAGAAGAGTCATAACCAAACACAGAAACACAGGTACATAGCAGAGCTGCACGAGGCACACAAAGGACAGGTCACAACACAGAGGTTATACGGTGTATACATTCTGAATACAGACTGAACAGGTTTTTACAGATCAAGATGAAGTCACTGGTTTTACTCTCACTGAGCCTGGCAGGTAAGAGATTTTAGTTTGACCTTTTTTAAGTGAATCCTGCAAAGACTAATTTCTACTTCTCTTTTCATAGTTTAAGCAATCTGTAACTTTTAAATTTAGGTACTTTATTCTGAAAGTTTCAATCACTTATTTGTTATGACTGAAGTTGAACTTTTATGCCATGTTGTTGTTTATGAACTTCGTCTGGTGAACTATGAGTTTTCTTCTTCTCTCATCTTTTAAGTGGCTTTCATTCTTTTTTCTTCTTCTTTGTATCCATGTATTCTGTTATTGAAATGCTCCATATGGCTCATTGACTTATTCAATTTAAAATGTCTTTGAAAAAAAAAATCTAAAACTAAGAATTTTTATTTTTTGGTCTTTTGGTTCAAGAGAACGAAATGGTCTAAATGTTACATTAACGCTGTTCATCACTTCACAACAGTACCATCATGATTCTCAGATTTCTGCTTGATGAGATTATTAACACAAGATTATAGAGATGACATGATAGTGGGTGAAGAGTCCCATTTTAAAGAGACATCTGAGATTTGGCTAAAAAAGTCAGTCGAATGAGAAAAAAAAGAGATCGACAAAGGGACAATAAATTGATGCAAAACGAACCATATGATGAAACTGACAGCAAAGTGGAAAAATTACCAAAGATGACCACGAGAAAATTCGCTAAACAGCATGTTCTGTACTGTATGTTTAAAATAAACAGGAATACAAGACCATAATGTAAAATTAAACCTAAAAAAATAAGTTAGAATCATTTAAAAGCAAAAAAAAAACCTCAACTTCAAAATGATTCTCAAACAACCAAAATGATATAAAAAAAAAAAACTTCAATAATTCTGATATGGCAACAAAAATATGCAAAAGATCCACAGAGAGATATCCAACAACTACAAGATGAAGAGAAAGAAAACGCAGTCTTAAAACTAATTTATTCAGTCTGGCTTTTATATAGTGTTTTATATAAAATTCAAATCTTAACATTATTGTATTATCTTTTTTTATCCTACTACAATTTTAAATATCAATATGTTATTGCTTTTATGTCATATTTTATTTTTTCATTTTAAAAATATTTTTTTATTCTTATTGGTGTGCATTAGTCTCTCAATGATTTTATAAACTACTTTTTTGTCAATAACTTTTCTGCACTCTTGTAAAGCACTTTGAACTGCAATTTAATTTGTCTGAAAGGTGCTATATAAATAAAGTTTGATTGATTGAAAACAAATACAAAGAGAAAACCAATGACCACAAAGCGATATAAAACAACTGCAGATACAATACGTCAACACATGGATTCAAAACAACTATAAACAACACAGGTGTCTTGAGTTTTTTCTATCTTTGTACCCTGCTCCTCCAATCAGAGGGGTGGGGGATCTGTTATCTGTTCCTGAATGTCTAACCCATTCAAGATCGCAGATAAATAATTTGTTTTTGTTTTTGTTTTGTCTTTACAGCGGCTCTTGGGATGCCACTCTTTGGCCCTGATGTAGCACAAAGTCCTGTTCTAACTAAAGGAGATAACAACCCCGTGCTGGGAGATGTACTTCCTGTGCAGGGTCATGTAGTGGTGGAGGATCCTCTGCCACAAGTCCGACTAGGAGACATGGAGGAGCAGGAGGACAAACTGAATAAAGAGGAAGGAGCTTCCATAGAGTCAGATCCAAACCTGAATCCAGATGTTATTTTTGAACCTGAGGCAGACGTGCAGTCAAAGGAGGAGAAGGAGCAGAAGTTTAAAGATGACTCAGTCTTGATGGTGGAGTCAGACGTTGAGGTGGAGCCCGAGGTGTCAGGGGTGCAAATGGACCTCCTGCCCGAGACTGAACCAGGTCCTGAGTTTGTCAACAAGAAGGGAATACATGAAATGTTGGACGAGCCGATCATGGAGCTGGAGCCGCTGGATGAAGACAACATGTCTGATCAGAAACAGAGCGACGCAAAGCTGACAGAAGAGGAACAATATGTGAGGTCAGCATTTCAGAATCAACCTGTGCAAGAGGAGGAGGAGGAGCCCGAGGTGTCGGGGGTGCAAATGGACCTCCTGCCCGAGACCAAAACTGAGTTTGTCAACAAGAAGGGAATACATGAAATGTTGGACGAGCCAATCATGGAGCTGGAGCCTGAGATGTGATAGGTGTCATTTATTTGAAATAACTGATAAGTTGTAAATAAATTCATGGAGAAATAAATATGATTTTAGTGACATAAAACAGCGAATTCTTGTAAAAAAAAAATTGTAGAAGTTAATTTAATGTTAATAATTTGTAAAAGATATCAGTGTTAAAACAGATTCAGTCTGAAGGATTTAAAACACTTTAAAAATGAGTTTTTTGTTTCAAACCTTTGAAATATACAGATATGTCTGCAAAGATTTATTAATCTGAATGTTTTTTTATTTATTCAGACAATTTTAGTTTTCATATTGCGGTTATAACTTGGAGGAAGAAGCGAAATAAGAAATACATTTTTATTTCAGGCCCATGAAGGGCCCCCCTCCCCACTGGGGCCCTGGGTAGTCAGTCCCACTTCCCCCCACTACGACGCCCCTGTTTACATTTTATGAAAGTTCAGTGAGACACTAGTGTTGTATGTCGTCCACACATCACCACACGAGGTCAGTGTTGGCATGAGTGTGTGTGTATGTCTGGATGTGTGTGCATATTAACATTAATATTAAGAATCTGAGAGTCATGGTTGAGAATATTCATGTTTAATCGTGTCAGTGAGCACGTATATATTTTTTTGTTAGGAAGAAATTGTTCAACAGAAGAATGAGAAATATCAAGTAAAGTGATAGACAGGATATTTCTGTTTGTATTTTCAGCACTGTTGATCATTTTATTTTGTTGTACTTACCTGTTATGTTTCATATTTGCCTGTGAAAATAAATATTAAAAGAAAGCACCATTGTGACTATGTGGATCATTTTGAAAAGATAAATTAAATCATTCTGCATGACGCTAACAGAGGCATGTGTCTTGAGTCCATTTATTCATTTTACCCTTTAGCAGGGCACAACAGAGACAGGGGATGAGCAGACTTCTTATCGACGAGTTGTGCCAGAAGCTGCCATCATGGAAGAAGTCCCTGAGTTGGACTTTATGGAGGAGCTGATGCCATCTTTGGAGGAGAATTTTCCTAATGAAGAGACGAGAACGGGGATGGAGCTGAGTAAACTGGAAAGCAATTTTGAAGCAGATGGATCAGAATATTTGATGAAGGAGGAACCAGGAAGTGAGTTTGTAAAGGACAGAGGATTATGACTCACACATGACAACACAGGTAAAGGTGTAGAGTGAATATAACACACCCTCACACACACGCACAACTGTAATTGTTTCACAGCACACTCATCAATGACGGATCCTGACCTAATGCAAAAAGATCACAGATGTTAAAATGGCTGCAAAGCAGATAAAAAAACAAGATAACCATTTAAAAACATGCAAGATCTAAATGACTTCAAAGTGACTACAAAAAAATGGCATACATTTTTTTAAACTGCATTAAACTGGTTCAGATCAACCAAAAACACTTACAAAACAACTACAACAAACCTGGTAGAAACACGAAGGTGCAAACGACCAGATACATAATGACTACAAAGGGACACAAAAGACCCCAAAAGATACAAAAAAAAACGACTACTTAACGAGCAAAAAAATGTAACACAAATGGCTTCAAAAAGTTGTTTATTATACTATATAAATACACAAAATAACTTTAAAGGGATACTGAAGGACTACAAAGTAATCAACTCAATTCCAAACAAAGTATCCAAATTTTGTACATTTTGTGTTTTTTATCTTTATTTTTTATATTTTATATTCTTATTCTGTTTTATTTAAGTTGTTGCTAGTTCTGCTTTATTTCCTTGTTAATTGTTTAGCACCAATACACAAAGTCAAATTCCTTGTATGTGTAAATGTTTTAAAAAAATAATTAGCTAAAGATTACTTATAAAATAAAGGTATTTTCATGCCTAAAAACAACTGGATATTAATGATTATTTCAAACCTGTTTCAGTGTTGATAGGTTCAAAAACAATATGAACTTACTGCATCTTTAAAAAAGAAACAAGACTGAACGTGATGTAATTTCACCTTTTAGCCACCAGGTGGAGCTACTGGTCCTGGTGTTCTGCTGGAGGAGAAATGTTGCATCAGCTCCCCACCCAGAAACATCATGTGTCAACCAAAACAAAACATCAGAAATACAGACAGAGGACAGAGGACCGGGTCTCTGCAGACACAGTCACCACCACATGTGTGAAGCCAATAAGTCATGATTGATCCCCACTTGGTGCCAAGTTAAATGAAAAGAAAATGTATTTCCTAACTTATCTGTTTTGACTATATAAGTAGTTTTCATAAGGGCTGGGAATCTTTGGATGTCTCACATTTCGATTTAGATTCTTGGGGTAACGATTCAATTGAGACTGTGTCGTCTGTGAGACTGGCTAAATGTCTTGCTACTCTATTTGGCATTTTACTGAGTTAAAGAGCTAGCATTAGCACTTAGCAGGGAGTCACTAAATAAAAAATGAAAAAATTGGAAATTATTCATCTATTTAAAATCTCAGAAGATAAGAATCTCAACTTTTACATATATCGACCTTTTTTTCCCACCTCTAGTTTTCACATATTTGCATAAATGGGGGCGTGGCTGAGTTGACTGACTGGTGGGCTTGTTGTAGCTGTTTGCCAGGAGGCTAATAGCCACAGCTCAACTCCACCTCCATGTCTGTTTTTTTTTCTTTCTGGAAGACAGTTTTCCAATATGGCAATTACCATCATTTGGCTTCAAAATGCCCCCTTAGAAACAGTTGGGTCACTGAGACTACGTCCATATTTATATAGTATAAAGAGTTTGTTCCAATATACTTTATAGATCGATTTCTTTTTTACAATTTACTTATTTCTTACCCTATATGAGTGGGTTGGAGAGATCAGAACATATCATAAATCATAAAGAGAGATCTGTTTTGATTTTAAACATTTTAGTGACTATTAAAGTTGTTTTCATTACCTCACCTACCCTTTAAAATGACAACAGCTTAGCGCCCATTAACCGACACATTCACACAGTCAGGCTGCACATGATGCCACTGGAAATCCGGCAGACACTCACATGTTGCTGTGTGTGTGTGTGACTGTGACTCATTTTCCATTGGCCTACACAACCTTTCCCCTGACCTCTGGACACCGAGGTGAGGATTACCAACACTAAGAAGATGACTGTAGCTCGTTATCAGTTTTATTTGAACTGCAGACCCTTAATATCCAACTTTACTTTGCACAAATGCATCCACCAATAAAAAGATTTAAATGATCTGATCCTGGGTGAGCTATTATTTGAGATAAACAGTCTTTGGCACATATGCGCCATGCAGATTTTCAATTGTTCTCCTACCAGGAAAACAGACTTTTACTGGATTTAAGGGCTCACCGTTGAGTTTGCATCTCCAATCTATTACCGGAGGATTGCCTCTGAATGCTTTGTGACCATTACAGAATCTTATTTTTAGACTCAGTTCACATTTAGATGTATTTAGTCATCATTAGGTGGTTAAATATGCTGTAACAGATGAATATGACGTGATTACATCAGGAGTTATTTTTGGCCAAATCTCAAAGTCTGTGCAGTAAATCTTTCATCAACAGTGATTGATCAGTGGAATATGAAACTGTGGATTCATGTTGTTGAGATCCTCGCGCTGTAGAAATCCCCTAAAACCATGACTGATTATCAGAGTGGCTGTTTACATGACGGTGGCTCGGTGCTGTTTGGTGCTGTCTGTCAATTCGAGTCATTTCCAGCTTCATGCAGCAAACAGTTGTCTGCAGGCGTGTCTGTGTCCGACTTTGAGCACTAAGGCTGTGAATCCTCTCCACTGAGCCCCACAGCCTGCATGGCTTACACACACACATTTGGATGTCAATGCATCAATGCTCACTCATACACTCTGCATTACAGGCTGGACTGTGCACAGAAACAGACTATGAATGACATGTTTGAATGCTTAGGACAAAAAAAAGATAAAATTGTTATCATTAAAAAAGTTCTTACACATGTTGAGAAACAATCAGTTAAGAGATCAGATCACTTTTTTCATTTTCTATTTATTCTTTTTGATAAGTTAATATGCTCTGCTGTTCTTTTGCTGTCTTTCTATTTTATTCTTTTATTTATATTTTTCCCTTCCTTTTTGCTCACTTTTCTTTTCTGTCGTAGAATGAGCTAACAGAAATATTGATCCATGCCTGTGTAGACGATGCACTCATATGTAGATCTTCTATACAAACCATATATGCATGTATATATGCTCATTCTGACCGTTTATGTTGTTTTTCTTCAAAACTATCAAATAAAAAGTATTTTATAAAAGATGTATCACTTTGTTCACAGAGGGAAGCTAAATCAATGCAAACAGGAAGTCCCTCACAGGAGCTTTAAAAGAACATGTCAGAGTGTTCGAGTGCAAGTTTTACCTCTAATCCATGTGTATTTAAGATTATGTGCCTTATTCAAACTTGAGACAGTACTATGATTGTAAATAAAAGGAACCCAAAACCTTTTGACTTTTGTTTGCCTTCCAACCTCTGTTTGTAACTGTTTTACATAAGTGTGTTTATTTATTGCAGTTTTGTACTTGCTTAATCATCTTAGTACATTTTAGACTTTTTAGACTGATATTAGCAGTGTTGTATCTGTCTCCTGTTTTTCTTTCTGATTTAATGTCTGTTTTCAAATTATTTCTGTAATGACTCGATGTCATTGTAAATGAGGGTTGCCCCTCAATGATCTTTTGAGTATAAATAAAGGTTGAATGAATGTTTGTGTACACGTGTGCTCACACACCTCGGTCTCAGCTCATCCTAAACACATTCCTCTGTATGCTTTTGAGCTTAAATTTAGTAGTGTTACTTCTGGTGACTCAATCTGTGGCTGCTGTTCCTTTTTATGGACGCAGGTGGTTTTTTTGTTTTTCTATCTTGTTGCATTGAGGAATCTTGTTGAGAGTTAACGGGGGAAGGTGAAGATGATTGTATTTTTTTATGGGTTAAATGGATGGTGTGTTTTTAGGGTGCAGCAGGTGAGGGTCTTTCATATTATACTTTAAGCATGTCGTAATTCTTTTATGTTCATATGTGATGTCTCTATGTCAGTGTTTTATTAATGTGCATTTTGGGTTTTGCACATTAGGATGTCTGTGGTTTGAACTTTAGCTGGCTCCTTCATTCCAGTCATCTCTGCATTAACCCTTTGTTATAAAGACATAAACTGATAATTAAACCATACACAATTAAAACAGAAAGAAGTGACATTTTGTAGCAAAGAATGCACATTTTAATGATCCTAGCTAGGACTAGTAGGAGTTATGTCTCCAAAATAGTTTCCAATGCACACATAGAGGACGCCATAGCAGCAACTCACCTCATTGATGATGTGTTTTTGTTGTTGATTTACTGACTTATATCCAGTGCACTTATGTATGTTCCACACACAGAATAGGACCCATACAGAAGGAGATAGACATATCAGGAAAACTGGTAGCATCACATCTTGCCAAAGGTATTAATGTGTTGGTGAACTTTACCTTCATTGTGTTAAGTTCTTGTTTGGTTTGAAGAATGCCAGATCGCAAACATCCATCTCACATATCAAATATCTGCTTCCCACCCTCCCAGGTTTAAACATAAATGTGCAGATATATCGGCACAGAGCACAGTATAAATACATGTTTACATGTCCCTCTGTTATGAGACAGATGTGTGGTTCATTCAGGAAGGGAGGAGGAGAAGATCTTTAAAAAAAAAAGAAAAAAAGAAAAAGGCTTTGTTGTCTGTCAGACATTATAAATCTGTGTCTCTGCTTCTGTCTCCCAAACCTCACAGAGACCACGGACATCCCTGCCTCACCCAGGGGTGTGTCAAAGAGGATACTGCTCTTATAAACACAAGAACACAACAGAGAGACCTGCAGACAGAACGACATCAAGAGGAAAACACTGCAGCATCATACAGGTGAGTTATACACAATCTGCAGTGCAACACATTTAAAGGCTTTATGAGAAGAGAAAAAAATGTACATCACATTTAAATTCTTCAAATTCTAAAATTCTAATAGAATATGTATTTGTATTTTATTATATCAAACTTTGAATTTTTATTAATGCATGTGGATCCAGCTGAAAGTGATGCATGCCACTCTCTGCAGTGCATCCCTGTGTGTAGCATGTTGCCCTGAGGATCTAACCAGCTGTGTTTCTGGGCTCCAGTCTGGAGCACAGTGGCAGCCAAACAGACTAGGAGACTAAATCTCATCCATTCCAAACCCACTCCAATTTTCTCTGAGCTTACTAATGCACCACAAACACACAAATCACATGACAACCTCAATAAATATGACACAGGATACTCAGCATGACAGCTGGCAACAATATAAATGTTTGTTATAATTAAAATAATTAAAGTTTGATATGATATTGCAGATAAATAAATGTAAGTTTCCAGGGACATTTTTGCATTTTGAAGTGTTTTCATAACTTAATAACATGCATTTTTATATATGTGCTTATCTTAAGAGTTACAGTTCAAAAGTGAGCTGTGTCCCTCTGGACCAACTCATGACTCTTATCTGTTTACTGATCTTGTCCTGTACACGTGTGATTTGTTTTTTTTTTAAATCACCCTGCTGTCTTTTAACTGTTAAAGATGTCACTTACAGTGAACCTTTGCTGTAGAAGACGTAAACATGGCTGTCCGAAGGGAGGGGGGTGGGGGGGGTTCAACTCACTTTGTCTGACACCGACCGAGTTGAAGTGCTTGAAAGCGTTAAACATTACTCCAGAGAAATAATCAAACTTTCCCTTTGGGAGCTTTAAACATAAACAAAGCTAATTCAGTCTGTTCAAAGAATTACAGCTTTTGGTTTCCTTTCCTGGAAGGGAGATTTTGAAAGCAGCTATTGGGTTGCATTATGGGAAATGTAGGCTCCAATAGGAACTTTCAAACATTCCTGAAACAGCCTTTTGCTGAATGACATTTTTTATGGTATCAGTATCAAAGAAGAATATCATCAAACTACTTTACTTACTTTTACTTTTTTTTTTTTAGTATACTTAAAAAGTATGCAGAGTTTATCGACGGTCAGTCAATCAGTCCAGCAGAAAAGACAGGAAACATGGACAGAATCCCAAAGATGTGATCACACAGAGGTGATGTCACAGCAGAAGATGAACACAGATGAAGGTAACTTGTGCATGTATAAAAGTTCAAACTTCATACGTAGTTTCCTGCACTGCCTGCACTAGTCTGATTTCTGTACTGCTTTCAATCTTCAGAATTGCATTTTACATAAATCCTCTCCTCTGCTTTTCAACACTAACAGACCACAAAGTGATGGAAGGAGAAGCTCGGGGGAAGAAGAACATCATGGAGCCGAGTGTTACCAACTACGCTCAGGGAAAGGAGTCGTTTTATTTTGCTGGTCATGACATCAGCATCCGCGAGTCCATAGATACTTATGGCGCTCTGATCTGGCCTGGGGTATGTCCTGCCACCACATACGTGTGTCTGTGCAGTCTCTGAATCTGGTTGTTCATACAATAATGACATTGTATTATATGATACAGTATATATACTGTATTGTGCAGGCGATAGCTCTGTGCCAGTTTTTGGAGAACAACCAGCAACAAGTGAACCTGATGGACAAGGCGGTGCTGGAGATTGGAGCTGGGACTGGTTTGCTCTCTATAGTGGCCAGTCTGCTGGGTGAGTCTGTGATCATTTAGCTTTTAGCCATCTTGCGCATGCCATTATCTTGCTGCATTAGAATTTCACAAAAGGTCTTAACACTTCAGTCCTTGTTAACTGCATAACTCATATCAGGCATTTAGCACGCTTAAATGCCTTTGAATACAAAAATGATAGGTTGTTTATAAGTTAGAATTCATCATCACATATTAATATAAGAATTAATTTGCTTGGATGCGTAACTATACCTTGATTGTACATCTATCCATCCATCTATGCTCTTCTCCTGGACAAAATACATTTTGTCCCACTGCTGGAACTCAGTGGAAATATCAGAGCGTTACTGAAACACTTTGATTCATTGTCAGAGAACCATGACTTCCCACCCACACCAACATTTTTTGCATTGCAAGTAAGTCAGTAGTTGTAAAACTGAAGTATCTGATTTTTGAGGGATAATGACATTCATGAATTCTTTTATTTAAGATAACAGGGACACATTGTCATATTGTCAGAGTCATTTATTATTCTCCTTAAAGGCTTTATATGTGATTTTTTGATCCAGCAGATGTCGCCCTTGAGCACCAGCATGAAACCAAAACAACTCGCGCTGCATTGTTGTGTTAGCATACTAATGCTAGCGATCTTTATTATGCTGGTATCTTCACACTGCATGTAAATTTACCTGAAATGAGCGTGATCTAGAAACACAGTTAAGCAGTGAGTACAGTATGTTATTCTTCTTTTCTCTAGTCCCTCAATTAAACAACTTTTATACGTGAGGGGAGGAGTCAGCCGGCCGTCCTGGCGATGTAAACAAAGTGAAGATAGGACTCTGAAAACTCTGAAAACATCACAGACAGTGGGACTCGGGTGTTACACCCATTGTAGACAGTCATGACTCACAGAGTTATTTTCAGAGGATATTCTTGATTTCTACATTTAAGTGTGAAAGATCACATATTAAGCATTTAATATCGAACTGGTCCTATTAAAAACACCTTTCCAGTTTTTTGAAAGAATCAAGGTGAAGTGAAGTGAAAATATTTTTCAAAGTTTAAACATAAACCTTAAAGCAACTGAAATTATTTTTTTATTCTGTCAGTTTCAAGACTACATCAACAACCCCAAACCAACAGAATAGTTATTTCTATACCTTGGATCCTGTAGAATTGATCATGTAAATAATGGGTTTTTGCATTAGTGAGAATTCAATTTTATGCTGTGAAAATGTTTCATGGTATTGAAAAAAAAAATCTAATTCTAATTGATTAAAGTTCAGATTCTCTTCAGTTTGTACAAATCCCCCTATAGGCTAAAGGACTGTATGAAAAACATTTCACCTAAACCCACTAACGCCTTATGAGGGTGCTAGAGGTGACATACAGTCATAGTGTTTATCTTCAGAGGAACATAAATTGGCTCTCCTAAACTTCAGCTAAATTATTAAGACAATTGTAGAAACATTTCAGCTGTGAATCATGGAGCAAATATTTGACCAATCAGCATCGTCAACAGCACACTCTGCAAAAAAATTAATAAATGAAATTGATGTTTCTGTCTATGTGAACTTAAAATTAAGTTATATCTCTTATCTCTTCCAGGTGCTATGGTAACAGCTACAGACCTGCCTGACATCTTGTCTAACCTGACCTTTAACCTCCAGCGGAACACCAAGGGTCGGTCCACTACACCCCTCAGGTAGCCAGACTTACCTGGGGCCAGGACCTGGAGAGAGACTTTCCCCACCCGTCCCACCAGTATGACTACGTCCTGGCAGCCGATGTGGTCTATCCCCATGACTGCCTAGAAGAACTGTTGGAAACCATGCGCCACTTCTGCAGACCAGGAAGTAGAACCACGCTGCTGTGGGCCAACAAGATCCGGTTTCAGTCAGACTTGAGGTTCGCAGAGAGGTTTATGAGCAGCTTTCACACGTCCATGCTCACTGAGCTCCCACAGCAGGAGATAAGGATATACAAGGCCACAGCAAAGGAGTAACAGAAGAGCACCTTTAACAGTTTTGTTTTAAATACTGAGAAAAGAGAGAATTTGATTTCTGCT